GTGAGACGTTGCTGGTACTGTCCATGGTGGCTAGGAGCGTGCTGCTGGGAAGGTGGTCTATGTTTTTAAGTTTTCGTAGAAAAGCTGTTGCATCTTGGACAAAACTCACTCTTTAGGTGACAACAGGTTTCAGGATTGAGTTGATGCACCCTGTTATTTCCTCAGTTAGGGTTCCATAGTTGGATATGATAGGTGTGACAGGTCTCCCTTGTTTGCGGATTTTAGGGAACTTTTTACATGACTGGCATTCTCACATGCATACTGGCCTCTGGTTTCTATTCTATTCCATCCAGAAAAAACACAGAGCAACTGCAGATGCTTCCTCAGCCTGATGAAGGGTTTTTGTACCTGAAAGTTTGCAAAGAAGAATTATTCCAACTATCCAAGTTAGTCTAATAAAAGATATCAGATTTACCCAAAGAACCTTGTCTGCCTATGTCCTTAGACCAACACGGCTACAACCCAATAAGCACCAAAAACATTTTAAAAGGTCAGCTCTTGGAGTAACTCTGACAACAGATCTAGGAAAATAATGAGCCAGACTTTCCTGTTCAGGCTTGTAGCTTAACCACTATAACCACCAACCTGAAGTTAGATAGGACTTCACTTGGAAATGAATAGCCAAGAAATCAAAAACCCACCACTAGGATCACTCTTCCCATCTTCCTCCTCTTTTTCATTCACTCATTTCCTCTACATCCCAAAATACAACTTACTCCTCCTCTCTACCAGGGTTTGTCTACATAGGGAATTTAATGCAGACTGTGCTAGGCTGTGCATTTATAGTTCACTAACTATTCTGCACAACTTTCCATGTGGACCCTCTTAGCAATAGAACTAGAAGAATTCTTCCGACGCCTGCACCTCAAAGAATATTTCCACGACCAAACTGAACCCACTCCCAACAGCAACTCATCCTCTGACAACATTCAGGAAAGGATCAATGCCAAAAAGCCCAAAAAAAATCAGATTGGACACCTCGCAGTGGATGAAACCCTAACCTTGACCACTACATTGACTGCTTCAGGGAAAGAATGAACAATGAAATAATCAGCAACACACACCACCACAACAACCTCTCTCTACCAGAGAAAAAGGCCATAGAATCTCTGAGATCTAACCACCAAATAGTAATAAAACCAGCAGATAAAGGAGGAGCCATAGTCATCCTAAACCGTGAGGATTACATAAAGGAAGCCAAAAGACAGCTCTCTGACACCACCTACTACAAAGAACTACAAGAAGATCCTACTCCCCTTTTCACCAAAAAACTCAACAA